ATATTTTCACTTGTTTAAGACTCATTATATTAGTCCAAGTTAAGACTTGAGAGTTGATTAAAATGCATAAACAGTACCGTAATTATTGGTAATGTTGCATTTTAGTACCTTAACTCTTTAATGAAGTAAATCAGTATCTCAACTACATTTAGATATTGCAACCGGCGGTGCCATTTAATATTCCGGCCAAAAAATGCCACATGTCCGCCGGAAATCCACGTGCGTATCCTAGTCACCGTTTTTTATCCACGTCATTTGTGATGACAAAGTTGTCAAAATTTTAAATATGCCGAAAAGACTTTGAAGGGGTGTGAGATAAATACCCTAAACTTGCATATGTAATTTAAATACCCCTAGCGTTATATAAAAAAGTTATTTTCACACCATTATATTATCATGTATTATTTCTTTCAAAAATGTAAATATATAGGGTTAATCACATTATTTGAATATAGCAAATTAAAAGTGTTTCAATTATATAGACTGAGGGTAACATGTTTTTTTTAAATGGAAGTTTAGAATGTTAATTGTGTTTTCATGAATTCTAAAATATTTTTAATTATGAAATTAACACCATACATTTACACTTTTGAAAGAAATAATATTTGACTGTGGTGCTAAATAATGTTTTATACTCCGTATAAAATTTGTGGTATTTAAATTACATATGCAAGTTTGAGGTGTTCATCTCACACCCCTTCAAAATTTGGAGTATTTTAATTATTTTTCCCATATTTCTATATGTTTAAAAAAAAAAAAATCAAAATTCATTCTACCTCCATCCCAAAAAAATCGCCATATTCACATTTTTGGCCAATGATGACAAACTTTAAATAATAATTTTAATACCAAAATTCATTCTACCTCCATCCCAAAAAAATCGCCATATTCACATTTTTGGTCAATGATGACAAACTTTAAATAATAATTTTAATTTATAAACTTATAAATAATTTATAAAATAATTATAAATTATAAATTTATAATTTATAGATTTTATACTTCTATGAAAACATTTTGAATAAAGAACATTTTGATATAGTTTTCATATTCAAAATAATTCGTAGTAAAAAAATATCATTGGTCAAAGCTCATTTCCATTGAGAAAAAAGTCAATTTGGCAAATCTTTTCGGGATGGAGGTAGCAATTTTTTATAATCTTTCATGTGACACCAATATTACATATATAAAGTAAAAAAATGTCTGAAATTTCATTTGTTTGAATTTTAGACTAAAAACGTGAAATATTTTTTTTTAACAAAAATATATAAAGTAAACATATATAATATGGTGTGAAAATATATACTACCTCCGTCCCCCTAAGTTTGAAACAAGAGAAGGTGACACGCTTATTAATAAAAGTGAGTTTATGTGGTTGATATTGAATTGATAAAGTGAGAATAAAGTAAGAATGATTTAGAACCACACAAATTTTACCAAATAAGGTATGAGACAATCTTAGTGGGACAGACCGAAAAGGTAAAACGGGACAATCATAGCGGGACGGAGGGAGTAATATACTACAAATTTATGGTATAAAAGATAGTTTGGTATACTCCGTATAATATATTTGAGGTAATCAATTAGTCAAAAACTATGTACAACAGCTGAATAATATTTATATGCTTAGTTTCCTCAGAGTAACAATTAAATATTGTGGTTGGATGGGGCTGGTATGGGCATTTAGGGTTGATTTGCAACTCCTTTTAAAAAAGCACTTCTCATCTTTTGACTTTAAAAAAACACTTATTTTCCCAAACACTATAACTTTTATTTTTCTCGGCTTCTGCGTCAAAAATTCTTTTACTTTTTCTATTACACAAAAAACACTTATTTTACCAAACACTACCCACTTTTACTTTTCAAAATCAATTTTTTCCCAAACACTATCAACTTTTATTTAATCACTTCTCCTCATTTCATTAAAAAAGCACTTTTTTAAAAATAGAAGTTGTTGCAAACAGACCCTTAGTATCTTCACGTCTGAGAGCTGCTGGGTTCGATTCCCAGCTAAGGCATTGGGCATATTTAAATTTTTGGCAGCTTTTTGTCATCACAAATTAAATGACGTGGACAATAATGATGTGGATAAAAAAAGATGACTAGGATACACACCTAGATTTCCGGCGGACATGGGGCATTTTTTGGCCGGAATATTGAACAGTATCGCCGGTTGCAACATTTAAATGTAGTTGAGGTCTTGATTTATTTTATTAAAGAGTTAAGGTACTAAAATGCAACATTACCTAGTTACGATACTGAAGGCACAAAACGCTATTCGATATGGAAATTTGTTCTTTGATCTGTGAATAACTAATGTATCAAATCATCACTCTATGCTTATCATTAACCATGCATATATATGTTTAAGGTAGAATTAAACTACTATAAATATCTAAATCGAATTTGGGAATCAAGCAAAACGAATCAACAATAAGGAAAAAAAGAATAATTATTAACTGAATGATAGTATTGACATTGAATGAATAATTGATTGTGCTTATGAATACGAAATAATAGAGAGCTTGATCGTAAAATGATCGTTTGTTTACATGGAGTGCTCTTCCCCTATTTATTCTATGAAGGGAAAAGGTGCAAATAGGCCCATGTACTAACCGAAAAAGGTCAAATAAGCCCTTATTTAGGAGACTCTGTCCGGCCGTCGTCGTTTGGGGTGGTTCCTGGTGGAATTTTTTGATGAAATTTTTTGAGCATCTTATTCATCAAGTCTAGTTTAGTCATACCAAATTTCAGCTAAAACTTCAATCGAGAAGGCATTCAAATGAATTCTTGAAGATAACTGCACTTCAAACTGCGCAGTTATTTTCAAGAATTCATTTGAATGCCTTCCCGATTGAAGTTTTAGCTGAAATTTGGTATGAGTAAACTAGACTTATGGAATAAGATACTCAAAAAATTTCATCAAAAAATTCCAACGGGAACCACCCCAAATGGCGACGGCCGAACAGAGCCTCCTAAATAAGGGCTTATTTGACCTTTTTTATTAGTACATGGGCCTATTTGCACCTTTTCCCTTCTTTGAATTATAGTTGTTGGGTCTTCCTCCGATATTTCCTCGCTGACCTCGCTGAGTCGCTTCTATCTTCAATTTGAATTACTTGGACCTTATCTCGTCGCAGGGATGGCTTCCGCAGTCTCATGGGCCGGCCGGCTCCTTTACTTGCAATCTCTGATCCGCGTCGTAGGCCCGTTTGGATATTTAATCTTTTTGGACCTAACAATATATGTTGCTCTAGAAACATATACGGAGTATATATTAATCTTTCGGATAGAATAACAATTTTCAACAATTATAATAGGAAAAAGTATGGAAAAGATACTTGTGGTTGGGTCTGTCTTCAGATAGGGTCATGTGTTTCATTCTTTATCAAAGTGGTTCATGTGTTTAAATTCCGTTATCACAAGAGGTTCACGCCGTCAAAAACGTCTGAAAAAGAACCGTTAAAAGTAACTCTAATTTTCAAAAGTGCCCAAAAAGTTAAAGAAAAATACTGAAATGTGCGTCTCGTCAAGATGACCTCCAAACCACCTCCGCCTTTGACTTTTTCAGATCTGTTTAAATTATTTTTAAAAAATGATTTCGCTAATATCACTTTTCCGGTGGACTTTCTGTTTACAAGGGTGGCTAAAAACAAAAAAGAACGATGGCCTAGCGGTCGTCTTATTGAGGCGCACCTTCCGGTATTTTTCTTTTAATTTTCCGGACACTTTTGAAAATCGGAGTTACTTTTACGGTATTTTTCAGACGTTTTTAACGGCGCGACCCTCTTGTGATAACGGAATTTAAACACATGAACCACTTTGATAAAGAAAGAAACACATGAGCCTATCTGAAAACGGGCTCAACCACAAGTACTTTTTCCGTACTTTTCCCTTTGTAATATGTATGCATTTAAGTAGATTTGTGTGCATGTTTATTCCACAATATATAATATAGAGAAAAGAGGCAAATAAGCTCTTGAACTATTTGCGATTTGGCAATCAGGCCCCTGAACCAGAAAAATTGCAAATACATCCCTCAGCTCATTGAATATCAAACAATCAGGTCCTTTTTTACCTGCTGGTGTAGGTAAGGAGATGAGAAACTACCGACACCAGCGGGTAAAAAGGATCTGATTGCTTGATTTTCAATGAGGTGAGGGGTGTATATTCGCAATTCTTCCGATTCAGGGGCATGATTGCAAATGTTCAAATAATTCGAGGGCTTATTTGTTTGTTTTTTCTATAATATACTCCCTTCGTCCCAAAAACATCTTCACAGTCACTATTCATTGGTCAACTTGAATCACTCCTAATCTTTTACTTTTTATATCAAATTTTTATCAAACTTAAATTTTCTTGTTCTGGCTTTGTAACGGTTTTAATGTAGTTTCTGAATATGCAAATGTTATTTATTAAAAATAATCCGAGTGTGAACAGAGATCGAGTTGCTTTATCGTTATTCACGCATCGTAAATCAAAGGGGAAGTTAATTTTGGGACGGAGTTATTAATAATATACTATCGTATATACTACATGAACAGGTAATGATAACATGACTGTTTGACATATTTTTGAAACACGCGTGACTAATACAACAAATTTACACATCAAATATAATGGAGTTTCACGCATAAACTAGAATGTTTAGGGATGACTCTCATACCACTAATTGCATTTATCTTTGATCATTTGTTCCAAATTAAAGCTCCAATCTTAATCAACTAATTACATAAGTCATCATTTTGGCCGTTGATGTATATTATTAACACTATAATTACTCCTATTGCATCTAATCAATCTCAAAACAAAAGTTAAAAAGCTTTTGAGCACATGGATTAAGAGAGGAGATAACAAATTAAAACAAATTAACTAGCTCTCCTTTTACGAAGTTGTAGATTTATATATGATTTTATCATTTATGTGCACTAACACACAATATAAAAATATTTATATTACATACACAATTGGACACTATTTCAATGACGCAACGCGCGTACGTAATATAATTAAGCTACTTTATTTACAATACCGGCCAATTGGTACATATGACATGTGGAAAACTAGATACCAAAAACTTTATGAAGCTATATAGGTTAACTTTGCACATCAAATTAGTGGGATTCGTGTAACAAAGTTGGTCTATATAATTCAATAAAAATGTCATATATAAACTTCATTTAAGTTACTCTAACACAAGATATATATACTCTATCGTGAAGAAACAAATACCGTAGTAGAATTGAAGGCTAGAAGTTATTCAAAATCAAAATTGAATATTATATAAACGTGACGATGGTGTAATAATTTCAAGTGCGGCCTTCCCTCTTAGTCAAGCAAACAGCAATACTCGAGAGCTTGAGCTTAGCCTTGTCCTCGTTGACCAAACGTTGACCAACGATCTCCTCATATTTGAGGAAAACCGGGTCAACGACGGATTCTCCGAAATGAGAAGCCACCACTGGCTCACTAACAGCTCTGATCGTTTTTGTTATGAATTTCGCCGCCGCCGGCACAGGATCGGTGGCGGCATCGGCGTCGCCGGTCATGTCGTTCCAATTCATTTCGAAGACTTCAAGCCGGTCAAGGGTGAATGACCCCTCCGTTTCTATTATATTCTTCATTTCATCCTTGTGGGGCGCATAAGAAGGCAAATTGAGCGATTCCACCTTTTTCTCCTCGATAACACCCTTCATTTCAATGTGGCACACAAAATTAATTATTGATCATCAACGGTGATTGCAATCTCATTTCGTAATTGAATTATGAAAATATTAATTATGTGCTAAGTACTCAGTATGTTTTATGTGTTTAGAACTGGTGTGGTAAGTACTGGTAACTCATGTTTTCTTTAGTTAATTATCATTTAAATAATTTATCAAATACGTGAGTACTTGACTTTTGATTTGTCAAGCTGTATTGAGTAATAATATAATCATAGCAAGTTAAGCGAAATAATTAACCGAAATATTTACTCAAATACACTATTTCAACTATTCTCAATTTCTCATATAATTTCCCTTCAATTTCCTTTATTAATAAAATATATTCGCATATAACTTCCCTTCAATTAACTCGATGGATTCAGCCAATTCAGATTCTGTTTGGTGTCACGAAATCGGCTGAATAAGCTGATTTTGTTGAAATTTACGAAATTATGGTTGAAGTGGCTGGAATGGTTGATTCTAATGATTTATGTAAAAAAATCATACTAGTATTTAAAATGCACTTCATAATTTGTTATAAAATAAATAAAAAAATTATATGAAAAAATAGTTAAAAAGGTCCTCTGTAGCAACTTCAGAACTTGTTTTTCTTATTATTACACAATTCAGCGTGCGAAATCAAAAGTTACGTAATGAGCTAAAAAAGTTGGCAATAAGCCTGATAAACTGATATGTTTTATCAGGATTTCACAATTTAGATTAATCTAACCAATTTTAGTGTTATATCTCTAGGAGTAGGATTTAGCTAACCTGAGAGACAAATTGCAGAAGTGCCTCAGTCAACGGGTCAACAAAATAAGGTGTTTGAGTGTGATCTTGTGTACCCCTGCCATGAAGAGCAAAGACCATCCGGCCGCCGGGCTTTAACTCCTCGGCACGGTAACGGAGAAATGTGGTCAAATCCTTCTCGTACTGCTTAGCATATGCTTCAATCACCTCTGGCGGACTCGACTGTCCCACAGCCAACCCTCGCTTGTTCATTTTCTCTATTCCTTCTGGGGCCTGTCGTGAGGTTAAATTAGTAAATAAACATAAAATTATTTCAGGGAACTATATCGATTCGCTTGGATCAAATGGATAACTTAACTATTGATAATGTTGCATTTTGGTACCTTAACTATTGGTAATGTTGCATTTTGGTATCTTAACTCTTAATGAATCAAAATAGTACCTTAACTATACATAAATGTTTCGAATTGAGATTTTATTCAAATTTCGACAAAAAAATCACATGTGGCGGCAATAATTCTAAACGTAAAATCTACTTCACCTTATTCTTGTCCATATGATCACTATAGGGTGATTCTACACATGGAATTTTGATCGTTATAAATGATTTTTTGGTCGAAAATTTGAAAAAAAATCTCAATTCGAAACATTTTTGTATAATTAAGATACCATTTTGAATCATTTAAGAGTTAAGATACCAAAATGCAACTTTACCAATAGCTAAGGTACCATTTATGCATTTGACCCAAATTCTCTTGCTACCTCAGTTCCATTTTATATTAGAGTATGTCTAACTTTAGTTTCTCACAATCATTAATAAAATGATTAAAAAGTGAAACTTGTAATTGAAATTTCAGTATAACAAAGTGACAACCATGCTAGGGGTACACAAGTTGTACACAATTTGTACACAAAATGTCGGTCACAGACAATTGGTACGGAATTGTCTGTGGGCACAGACAAGAGTTGTTTGTGTACACAGCCAACTTTTGTTTGTGTCCACAGATATTTACTTTTTTATAAAAAGTACACTGAGAGTCGTCTGACACTGACATCAGCTTGCAAATCAATAAATATATGTGCAGTGCCTGTGTGCACAGACAATATTTTCATGTTGCACAAATAATTATTTGTCTGTGTGCACAAACGACTTTTACCACATAGACAATAGTTGTGCGTTCCACAGACAATAATTGTCTGCGTGATCAACTTTAGTTGCTTGTGTGATCAATTTTAATTGTCTGGGTGAACACAAAACTTAATTTTCTATATACATCCAAATGAATGATGTAGTTCTATGTGTATCAATTTACATTAATTTGAATAAAATTAGAAAAATAATAAAAATATATGAAATTAGATGAATAAGTTGATTTTGTGCAAATAATGAAAAAACTTTGATAGATAAAGGTAGAGAAAAAGAGGATGAAGAAGGAAAGAGGAGGGTGAAGAAGATAATTTTTTTGTTGTTAGAGAATTTTAGAAGAGATTGAGAAAAGAGGAAAGAGAGAAGGGGAGAGGAAGAAGAGGGAAGAGAGAGAGAACCCAGAGAGGGAGAAGAGGGAGGGGGAAATGAGATGTTTTTTTTGCTTTTATACCATATACAACTTGTGTACATGATGTGTATGTTAAGCATTTTTCATAAAGTGATACTCCCTTTGTCCCAAAAAATGTTCCCGGTTTCCTTTTTGGGCCGTCCCAAAAAATTGTTCCACTTTTCCCTTTTGAAAAGTTTTGTATGACTCACATTCATTTACATTTTTCTTACGCAATCACAACCATACATTTTCACTTTATTCCCACTTTCTTAAACTTCGATCCAAGTCAACGCGAGAACAATTTTTGGGACGAATGGAGTATATTGTAAAATACATATTTATTTTCAGTAAAGAAATGTGACACTTATTTTGAGATAGTTCAAAAAAGAAAATAAGACATATAAAATGAGAATGGAGAAGTATATATCGTCACTAATAGTTTTGTTCAATTTAAGAAACTTTCCACTCTAAATTGTGACGTATCCAGAATTTGTGCTTGGGGGGATTACATACAATAATGAACATAAAAATGTTTATCGAAACGTATCAATACGTACAACTCATTTGATAAAATGTTTTGAGCAAAAGCTTAAAATTAATCTAAAATATATGTAGTATTTGGCTAATAAAGTTTAGATGATCGAGATATGTTATATGATTGGGAAATTTTAAAATAGGAATAAAAAAATTCTGAATTTCAAAATCGAATTGGCATGTTTTTGTTCCTAATAAATAAGAGTAATTATTAACAAGTTTAAAAAATATTACTTATCATATATATGTAAAACTTGATACTTTCGGTAGTATGTAACTCCTGTTTCGAGAATAAAAATAGGACGGCCTAAAATTGAAATTCAATTACATGATGTATACCTGCGAGAGCCAATGAAGACTATAGGAGGAATGAACTAAGTGGAGAGAATTGGAAGGGAAGAGCCTATCATAGAAAGAGCCAGGCACTGCTGCTATGCAACAATGCTTGTACTTTTTATCTTTGCCATTCAAACCCGTTACTTCTTCCAGATTTTTGCGAAACGAAGGGAGTGTTCGGAAAACGGCGTTGAAGTCGTTATCCGGCAGATCATTGAGAAAGGCCTGGAATTCCGGCACGTCGGCGTTTCTCGACCGGCAACTCTCGTTCACAGCGTTGATCACGTTGACCGTGGGGAATAGCGTGTTTGGACCGGATGAGCAGCCCAAATCCGCCATTTTAAAGCACTCCGGGAAACCTCCATTCTTGCCCATTTCTTTGATGGTTTCTTCTAGCATGGGCTTTACCTTCTCTATTACCTCTTTCTGCAAATTAAACATATTTAAGTAATGGGAAAATAATGATGAAATGAAACGTACTAGACAAGTGAAATAATGTCACATACACAAGTATAACGATTTTTTTAATCAAATACTTACTCTGTATGATATATATTGACTAATTTATTCATTAACTCATATCAATGAAACATGAATAGTTAAAGGTACGTATGTAAATGATTTCTTGAATTCTTTCTATAATCGCGCAAGAATGTAATTAAATCGAACAAACTTGTTGAACTTGGTCGTTATTGAAATAAAATAAATAAATGATCTCACTTCACCAATCATCCGAAAGGTAGCTAGAATTGATTTGACTAAGGAAACTTAATGCAGCAGAAATTGGCTAAATTAGCGGCCTGACTAGCCATTAAATAAGAGCTCTTGTTGAGTATTTTCTCTAGGCGTAAGTGAGTGATTCGGGGGTTCAGGTAATTGATGCCTCAGAAAGACTAGGTTGAATCGATCTTGCCATCAATGAACAATGAAAATTCGGCACTCAATCGGTTACACTAATGACGAACACATGCTAAATCTCTAGACATTGTTACAAGAACATTATATCTCATGCACGATCAGCTAAAGCAGATAAAACTCCCGACTGAAGTAGAAGTCGGACCAAAACCAAAACCTTACCGTGTAGAAATTTAAAAAAAAAAGTGTGGAAGCATAGGAATTTGCCGCCAACTCTCTTGTGGGACCAACGTTACTAGGTTAGGTGGGGGCAAGTAACTAGCTAGTTTTTCCAAATGGTGACAATTCCGGTACCCATTTAAAAAATGGGGTACCGTACCTATCATGCATTTGATTGGTCCAAATCATTATATGTTTTTTAATTTAGATTTAAATAATTCAACTGCATTATTCTTATTGGTCCATTTGGACAAATGTATGGTACATTTGGGGTACCATGGAATCTACATTTCCAAATATCGTAACTGACTTATTTTCAAAACCCAATTAACTTTGTTCAAAAAAATATTATTTCTCCAACATCAATCAACCCCACCTCCCACTGCTCATTGCCCCCGTAATTCTATACTACGGAGTATTGTATTTCTGGAAGACTGTAAGTCACTGGAAATTAAAACTACGTGTCATAAGAAAAATTACTCCGTACTACTTTTTGTTTTTCAGAATTTGTAGTGGCTATAGAGAAAATCTCCAAAATATCAATAAAAATAATATAAAATTCCAGAATATGTGTAATATATTTTATTTCATATCTATGCCAAATTCTCTGTCAATCATGTGTTAAGTAATTCAATATATGGTAATTCTTCTATACTAGTATTAATTTATTATACTTATTTAACACATATTCCTATATTGTTAAATTTGTCACTCTACATATGCATGCTCATTAATGAGCATGTTACATAATTATTATAATTATTGTAGCTAGGAAATGATCATTTAATCTTAGATAAAAAAAATATAGTACGTAATCTTATTTGAGGATTCAAAAACTTTTTACTCCCATTTGGACCAATTTCTTATTTAAATATGCATTGGTATCTATTTTGAAATAATATCGGCACAGGCCAAACAATTCACAATAAACATAATACCAATGGTGTTACATACTATTGGTACATTAGTGCAAACATAAAAGCAATTATGTTTCTACATTACCTTAAAGAGAAATTAAAGATCGGATATGAGAAATGATTAAAGAGGGATACCTGAAAACTTGAGTTATTTGCATAATGGCTCTTCTCATTAAAACTCATTGATAGAATCTTACCCGACGCCATTGTTGAATATAATTTTGGCTATAATTTTTCCTCTTAGCTTGTTTGGGTTATTTAGTCAAGTTCTAAAACTAATTAAAGTGTTTTTAAATTCACCTAAGCATGCATCATTTATTGAAAAAACTCACAGCAATACGGTAACTATTTGCGTACCTCCATTTACGTCGCAGCCAAAAACAATGTGCACAAGACAGGTTGCATGCGTGATTTAACACCCTAAGTAAATGTCTGAGGTTATTAATTACCTTGGTATTGGTGGTTATTATTGCTTAATATACAAAAAATAATGCAAACAAAGGTGGGAGTGGAAGCATATATACCAATTCACTAGGCTATACGTTTCTAATTTGAGTTTGCATCTCATAATTGAATTTTGCACCACCTTTTTTAAAATCTTTGTATTTGTACCCCCAACTTTGTATGATAAGACAAAAGTGCCCCTAGATTAAGAATACGGTTGGCCTTCAACATATTCCTGATCAAGATACATTTTTGTCTTTTCATACGAGGTTGAGGTTCAATTCAAATATAAAGATTTTTAGAAACGGGATGCAAAATCGGATTTGGATAATAAAATGGGGTGTAAACTCAGTTTACCCTATTGGATCATTATTTTGAGCCTTGACAATATAATCGTGTAGACATGTAGTATTGCTAGGATGAAAAGCTCAAATGGTAATTTGAATGAAGAAATAATCAGCTGATCCCAAACGTTATAGATTTTAGCTTTGAATTGATTAGTCATGCATAATTATTTCCGTCAACTTATGTCAAATTTACTCTATAGTTATCGAAGACTTATCTTGCTTATATTAATTTTATATTTTCTGGTTGTAATTTCAGAAGGGTTACTAAATAAGGTTACTGCATTCCCCTGGCATTTCAATTTCAACAAGTTTTTTTTTGAAGTACAACAAGTTGAAAGGACTTCATGCTAGACCTCCAAGACAATGCCTCCAAGGTATATATATATATATATATATATATATATATATATATATATATATATATATATATATATATATATATATAATGTTCAGGTGAGAAATGCATCTAATGTGAGAAATGCATCTAATGTGAGAAATGAGAATGAATCTCAGCCATTGGATTTACGAAGTTGCACTAAAATTGGCTTTATGTTGCAGTAATATTTAAATTTTGGTTCAGGTGAGAAATGCATCTAATGTGAGAAATGAGAATGAATCTCAGCCATTGAATTTACGAAGTTGCACTAAAATTGGCTTTATGTTGCAGTAATATTTAAATTTTGCACATGTTGCACTAAAACTGTTTCATGTTGCACTAATATTTGACAGCGTTGCACCGAAATAGCTTCATGTTGCACTAGACACGTGTAATACGGATTTTTCAGAAGTATTTACAGAAATGCCACCGTGCTAGATTGCATATTTCAGTGCATCATGAAGTGTCTTTTACTGCAACTTAGTCGAATCCAATGGCTGAGATTCATTCTCATTTCTCACCCAAAGGGTTCTTCTCACTTGAACCTTACCCTATATATATATATATATATATATATATATATATATATATATATATATATATATATATATATATATATATATATATATATATATATATATATATATATGTGGACATAACGAGACGAACCTACCATTGCTCCAATGCCTCCAAGGACTTCATGCTAGACCTCCAAGACAATTCAATGACGTTACTCCCATCTCATTTCAGCATGGTCTCCCCACCTCACTCATCTCTGGAGGGACGTAACGAGACGAACCTACCGTTTGTGGTATAACAGATGGATCCAAAGGTTCGCCATGAGAAGTCCAATTATAATAATTGGAAACGAAACCGTCTGCGTACAAATCCCACCCAACATCGACATCTGTTTATCACCACTCATATAACTCGGGTGTTCAAGTGCGAATACAATAAACTCCCCAACTCCTTCAAGAAAATTTGATTGCATTCCATACAATACCGCATGTTTATCATACATCCAAATTCTATTTTGTGTATACATTATGCCTGAATATTATAATAAAAAAATTATACAGGTTAAAAAATTTGAATTATAAACATTACCAACATATGTGGATCGAGTATTATTAATATATTCAATTTCACTAAAGTTCAATGCAATTGAATGTTAATTACAATAATGTTGAATTAATATTATTAATTAACTAGAACTAATACATTAATATAATGTCATTAATCATTTCAATTATTAACTAATAATCAATATTATGATATCAACACTAAATACACTAAATTATTACGTTAATGGCATTAGTTCATAAACATTAACAATAATTTTTTGTCTGTAGGAACATTTATATATTAAATTGCACTAAAATTCGCTAAAATTAACTAACGTCCAATTAATATTATCAAACTAGAAACAATACGTTAATGGCATTTAATCCACAATACTAAAGTTATCAACATCTTATTATAAATACACAATTAACAATTCACTAAATTAAATAATATGAGCAAATCCAATAATTTGAGCACATATATATAAAATCATTTGAATTAAATAATACATAAATTTAACTAATATTATCAAAAATTTAAATAATTTACATAATTTTAACTAAATACAAATTAATTAACACTATGCTTAAATTACACCTACATTTAACTAATTTTAACTCATTTATTTTGTTAATTAATTAACAACCTTTTTTAATTTTCGAATTAACTAAATTAGTTTAACTTAATGTGTCACTATGATTAAACCTACGTTTAACTAACTAATTTTCACTAAATCAAATGAAGTTCACATAATTCACAATAATAATTCATATCAATTAAGTAATGTTTCAATTAATCCTAACTTAAATCATTATAAATCTTTAATTAGGCATTAATAGTAATTGCTAATAAACAAATCCTATAATAATCCTATAATTGTATTTGAGCATATATAAACCCATTTGAATTAAATAATACTTAAATATAACTAATATTATAAAAAATTTAACTAATTTACGTAATTAACACTATGTTTCAATTAAAACTACGTTTAACTAATTTTAACTAATTTATTTCGTTAATTAATTAATAACCTTTTCTAAACCCATTTGAATTGGCCGCTTGGAGTTTTTTTCCGTCTTCGATTTTAATCGAAGGACGGCCGCTTTTTCCGTCTTCGATTTTAATCGAAGGACGGCCGCTATTTCCCTCTTCGATTTTAATCGAAGGACGGCTGCTGTTGTTTGTGCTTCATACTCGAAGGGCGGATTTGCTGTCATGGCTCGAGGAGATCGGCGTTGTGGTCAAGGTTTGAGGATAATGTATTGCTGTCGTCGTTGGAGAAGATCGGCGCCGCCTATCCGTTTACTCTGGTTGCATGAAGCAGGGATGAGTTTGGTTATGCAGGGACGAAGGATTGATGCATGGCCTTTGGCAGACAAAGGTCACGGAGTATCAATTAGCATGGTACCGGTGGTAAGACCTCCTCCTGAACCACCACCATGGGATGTACGAGGTGCTAGAGTTCGTGAACGCTTTTCTTGTAGTTTTTATCTGTTTGTTATTTGTTTTCTTGTGTCCACTTTTGTTGTTGGTTTTGACAGTTTGTTTGAGTTTTTTGTCTCTCTTTATGTCATTGGGTATGGTTGGATCTATGGGAATAGGTTTGGATGTGTCATGCCCACTACATGGTTAGCGATTCGTGTTGTTCTCTCAGGGGTGACCGTCTCAAAGTCTCACCATAGGGTTACAGTCGTAGTTGTTGAAGTTTCAGTTGGTGTCAGTTTTATTTTCCTTTTGCTTGATGTAATGATCCTGAATCTTTTGATATGAATAGAGGTCCGTTTGATGATAAAAAAACCCATTTGAATTAACTAATATTTAAATTTAACTAATATTATCAAAAATGAACTAATTTAGGTAATTACTTGAACTTAATGCATCACTACGTTCAACTAACTAATTTTAACTAAATTCTTTTATAAACCTAAAAAGTTAACTAATTTTATGACATCACTACATTTATAATTAAATACAGTGTTATTTAATTAACAAACTCACTAATTTAATAGTTTTTATGATTTAAAATAAACCAACTAATTCTTAATAAAAAAACATAATTCAAATTACATATCTTATCTGCATAAACAGGCAAAATGATATAAGATAGATTACATCATTCAAACAGATATTGTATTATATACTGAGAATAAATTGGTGTGGTTCTGTTGAATGATGCTGCCTCTGCATATATATAAAAAATAGTCACGGATTAGTCTGTGACTAAATTATTTCGTACAAATTGTCTGTACCAATTATATTATTCTTTTTTAGTCACGGACGTAGTCACGGATATGTCCGTGACTAATTTAAATTGTTCAAAATACCAGTACGAATTAAATTCTGAGCGTTGGAAATTAATTTAATTTCATTAGTCACGGATGTCATCACAAATATGTCCGTAACTAACTACCGGTATAAAATAAACTCCGCCGGAAACGGAATAGAGCTCACCGGAGGACTTTAGTCACGGACTTTGACCGTGACAAAGAGTAGTCACGGACGTAGTCACGGACAATCCGTGACTAATTTTTTTTTAAATCTGTGACTAGCCCGTGACTAATTCCATGACTAATTAGTCACGGATAAAATCCATGACTACAGACGTGTATTTTTGTAGTGATAGGACCTCATGTTAGACCTTGTCCTTATAATCTTTTGTGATTGCCAACTAAGCGTCATGTCCATTTTTTACATTGAAAACTACACATTTGTAAACAAAGTGTGTATTTACTAATGTGTAAGAGCAATCATCTCCACATTGGAGATGCCCTAATATAATGCATCCGAATTGGAGATGCTCAGCTCTTGGAAGAGGTTGAAATCCTAATTGAAGTGTGATATATTTTCGTTTCTTTTGGAATTGCTTGTATTCTTTATTTTATGTATACATATATAATTTTGTATATTTTACCTTTAATTTTTATTTTAATATTTAAATGCTAAGATTTTAATTATTATTTTTATAGTTTGCGTATTTATATTTTTTGGAGGCATAATCACATTTTAATCTCTCTTTTTTATCCATATCCAAATGTAGGCTTAACTTGATGTTGTAAATGTCGTACTTGACATTATCAATCAATTCAAGTCTCACTT